TGGGCAAGGGTTCTGCTAACTTAATTACTATAACCCTACTTTCCTAGCATCAGTATTGCTCTTAGTATCACTACTAGTAATACTATTACCGCTTTTCCTTTTATTACTATTCTTGCTAGTATTCTTATCACTACTGTCAATGTTCTTATGCAACACAGCGGTTTAGAAAAGTTGCTCGCTTTAGGGACCCGGGCCTCGAGGGTCCAGGTACTGCAGCAGCCTTTGGACTTCGCTTTGGGACAGCACCTGAACCCCCCCCTCCTGGTTTAGGGTTTAGGGTTTAGGGAACCCCCCTGGGTAAGAATTGTCATAGGGATTCAGGTTTGGGGGTTTAGGGTTTAGGGTTTGGGTTTTAATGCTAAGTGATGAGAAATAACAGTTGATAGTAGTTAACAATAGTAGATAAGGGTACTAGTAGCAGTAATGCCCTAAACCCTGAACGTAACAATATTAAGTGATAGTCCTAATGGCAATCATAGCAATAATAGCCCAAAAGAGCAGAGGAAGCTCCTTTCCTGGTTGTCCTCACTGGTGGCTAGTAGGGATAAGGGAATGTTATATCCAAGGAGTCCCTACATAACATATTCTCTTATTCCCTACTAGCATCCCCATATTACCCCCAATAAGCCCTGCTTCCATTCCATGTTCCATTTCCTTTTCCATTATAGCAGGTCTATTTCCCATATTCCCTACTAAGCCCGTAAGCTTATGCGGGTGGCCTGCAGCTGGCTGATCCCAACCTCCATGCGCTGCATTGAGACTGTCCAGTCCTGCTGGGCAACTGAACTGAGGATGAAACCAACTCTGTAAGCTCAAGCTATGCTGCTGAAGTGAAGGAAGTGGGAGTTCCCATTCATAGGGGACCCAGTATAGACCCCAACACACTGTAATCCTTAATTTTGGCAAGCCCCCAAGTGTGAAAGCTGTGGGGAGGTTCAATCCCTGTCACGGCGCTGTTTCCTCTTGGCAAGCTGCAGAAAAAACTTCAAGCACTGTGGCCAGGAAAACGGAAGCGGCCAAACGCCGCCGTCAGAAAACAGGGATCATGACATCAGTATCCAAATGCCCGCATCAGTCTCATAACGACGATGGTACAGGATGATACAGGTAGCAAGGCAACATCACTAGAGTAGTGTTTTTGTGGTGGTTGAACCTAGTAAGAATATATTCCCTATATGAAAATACTATACCCACAAGGAGGCTAAGATCTTACTCTATAATGGGTACCATAGTAACCCCAAATAAACTACCACTCACTAAGCTTTAGAGCCGCTTTGGACTACGGCAACCTTCTCTTCCGCAACGCTCACCGTCTGAGCCGCAGGTTTTTGCTTCTCTTCTGCACGCGCCTGGTGAGGGTCTCTCGCCGTAAGCATAGGGGAGCCCAACATATGGGTGGTTGTCAAAATGATGGTCCCTTTTTGGAACCCTATTATAATACGGCACCCAATATTTAGGGTACCCAAAAAGGGATCATAATTTTGACAACCACCCATATCAAACACAACGCAATCCAGATGCCTTGAGCATGCGCATGGCCTCCTGCTTAGCAGCCACATCACCCACCTGCATCGGGCTTGGATGTCCCACTTTAACAGCTGCGCGGCGAGCGCCATCCTACCTCTTCTCTCGGCACTGGCGGCGTCCAGGCCTTCAGGTGTGGTAGTTCCCCAAAATAGGGGGAAGCGAATATAGATCCTAATGTACTACATTTCTTATTAAGGGGACACCCCCGTGCTGCAGGGCTACAGAACCCGTCAAGAAGGACCAGCTGTCGCTGCTTGAGCTTAATATACCCTTATATAAGTCCAAATAGTAGTTTCCATTTTCTTTTTACATAACAGTAGATTATACCCTATTATACTATAGTAGTTTCCATTTTCAATTTTCCCTATATAACCCTATATTATATCCTATTATACTATAATAAGTTCAATTTCCTTTTCCATTATCCCTATATAACCCCATATTCTACCCTATTTTACTACTATATAACCCCATATTACCCTATATTGCCCTAGTATAACCTTGAGCTCGCGGCGTAGCTCGGAGGAGACCCGAACAAAGGTGTTACAGAGCGCAGGAGCGTGGTACCTCGTGCACATGACGGAGAGCCCAATACCCCTGAATTGTAAGGAATATATTAGGTGGACCCCCCACCCAGTAATAGTGACTATAAGGGATAATTGGGATTATATTGGGGTCCTCTAATATTCTTATTATACCACTATTACAGGGTGGGGGGTCCTCCTAAGGAATATATCTGACATGGTACTAGGGTCCCAAATATCAGTTAAGCCACAATCCCTAATTAAGGGGTATTGGGCTCTTTGGGCCTGAGGGATGTGATCCAGCAAATGACAGCTGGTGGCTTCCCAAAATTAAGGGAACCCTTTTTGGGGTTCTGGCAAATCAGGATCATGACTTATTGGGGTATATATTGGGGTGGCCCCTAGGGAAACTGCCAGCTGAGGTTTCCTTTGACAGGATCCAGGACGAGAGCCCTATAGCAGAAAAAGGAAAGTGACCAGGAATGCCGTAAACCCAATATAAGGTGTGTGCGGAGAAGTTTCCAGCATATGTCATTGTGACTTCATAGCCCGTTATGGCTTCAGGATGTCAGTATGCTTGAGCCTTTTTGAACAAGTTTTCTAGGTTGTGTAGACAATGTAGCCACCAACCTTCAGCCTCAGGCTAGACAAGCTAGACCTTTCACATCGTCTTTTGCGCGTGGTCTTAAAAAGGGCTGTTCCTGCAACGCAGGTTAAGAGCCTTGGCTCTTTCCATGTAGCCATGGAGTCCTCAGAAAACGCTGAAGAACCTTCACGAGAGGAACCGGCAGGGTCAGAGGGAGTGAATTCTGGGCTTGACAATAGCACTGCGAGAGAGGTGGTGGAACCTAATCCCTTCTGGAGCGATAGGGCTGCCGATGAGTTCCGCTTGCAACGGGCGAGACCTTTGCGTTTAGCTGAGTACGATGATCAGCAACCGGAATATGGATCTGAAGCTGGTCACAGCGCGGGATTTGCATCGATTGCAGCTCCCAGAGGTAGGGTGGCCAGCTCACCTCAGGTGCGTGCTAGCGACGTCAGGTCAGAAGCTCGAGCCTCTGACAGTGGGTCGAACGGACCCTCTGCGGCTTCCCGTTCGCGGTCTCCAGTGTGTGAGGATCTATCAGGATTCCAGGAGCTGTTGGTAACCCTAGGGGGTGCTGTAGCCGGCCTGGTTGAAGAACACAGGAACACTCAGCAGCGCCTTGCCAGGGTGGAGGAGAACAGATCTGGAAGCACGTCGACGATGAGGACCGGCAGAGAAAGGTCAGCCGATCCAGGGTTAGGACCACAATACTTTGCGATAGGGGATGAAGAAAGGGACATGCCTCGAGGCTTACGCATTTTGCTTCCATTGGAGGATTGGGTTCAGGAACCTCTCAGGCTGCAGGACGTGCCGTTTGAGTCGGATGTTTCAGGACCTTTGAGCTTGCCAGTGTCATACGGTCCTAGTCCCTCAATAAGGGGGTTGGAGCTAGGGGAGGATTATAGGGGAGTAGGATTAGACCCTAAACCCTTAAAGGGTCCCCTAAACCCTGCCGAACCCGTGTTGGCACAGGTCTCAGGCGTAGGCGTCTCGGCCCAAGGTCAGGAGGTCAGGGTCAGGTTCGGCCCATCGGCACAGGTCTCAGGCGTAGGCGTCTCCCAAGGTCAGGAGGTCAGGTTCGGCCCATCGGCACAGGTCCCAGGCGTAGGCCTCCGAGACCATCGGCCCAGGCACAAGGCTTAGGCAGTTCGATCCAGGCTATGGTCTCAGGTTCGGCACCTGGCACAGGCACCAGGCACAGGCAATTCGATTCATGGTTATGGTCTCAGGTACTCGGCACAGGCACCGGGCGCAGGCGTCTCGGCCCAGGGTCAGGAGGTCAGGTTTGGCCAGTTGACCAGCGACCGTGCCGGCGTTTCGAGATCAGTTCCTGGAGACAACAGTGAGGGAGTGTTGGTAAGCGCAGGGGAACGATGGGGCATGTTCGCAACCCAGGGCGGTAGCCAAGGACCAGAGCTGCTGCACCCTCATGAGGGATCGTGCGTTGGCCACCAGGCCCTCCTCCGTCACAATATATGGGGGAGAAGTATACAGTCTGGGTG